GGACGCCGACGCCGCGCGGGCGGCGCTGGCGGCGGCTGCCGCCGAGCTGGCGAGCGCGCGGGAGGGGCTGGCGCGGGCGGAGGCGGCGGCGGCGGAGATGGCGGCGGCGGCCGCTGCGCTGCAATCGGAGCGGGACGCGGCCGGCGAGCGAGCGGTGAGCGGCGCGGCCGAGCCGAGTCACGGGCTGACTCTCGAGGCCCTAGCCATGCAGGATGAAGTCAAAAAGGTTCTGCATTGCAACACAGACGCGCCGCTGAAAATGTTGGCTGTTTGATATCCAGATGCATGCCTCATACATGTCAGTTTGCCTTGAGATGTGCTGACATCATCCGACCCCGCACATCGCAGGACGCGAACGCCGCAGAGGCGTCCCGGCTGTCGCAGCTCCTGCAGGAGACCCAGCAGGCGCAGCAGCAGCAGCAGGCACAGCAGAAGCAGGCGCAGCAGCCGACCCCCTCGCAGCAGGAGCAGCGCGCCCAGAGATCGGGAGAGAACGGCGCCGGCTCTAGAATTGCCTCACCGGCACGCACTAGGCCCGCCGGTGCCAGCGGTAGCCCTGCCCCTGAGACGTCCGCCCCCTCGGCGGCCCTGGCAGCCGCCTCGCCCGCAGCCATCGCTGACGCAAGGGATGGCGCGGGCAGTGCCGGGGACAGCGCTCAAGAGGCGGGCGGCGGGGACCCTGCCCAGGCGTGGCAGGCGTACGTGGACCGCTACCTGCTGACTGACCTGGGCCCCGGCGTCCCCCGCCTCCGCCATGCCGCCATCGTCGGCGCCAGCAGCGGCGTGTGGGCCTCCGACCCGGCGTTCCCGGCCATCACGCCGCCAGAGGCGCGCGCGGTCGAGGCGCTGCTCGCGGCGGCGGCGGCGGAAGCCGGCGGCCGGCCGGCCGCGACAGGCAAGGCGCCCGGCGGCGGTGGCGGCGGTCCTTTTGGGGGGCTTCAGTTGCTGGGCGCATCCAAGGCGGCGGCGTCCAAGGCGGACGGCGAGCCACCCTCGGAAATCACGATCGCCGGCAAGCCGTACGAGGTCGTGTCGCGCAGCGGCGGCGGCGGCAAGGACGTCGCCAGCGGCAGTGGCGGGGGCGGCTCACTGCTGTGTCGCGCCAAGGGGGGTTTCATGGGGATGGGTGCGCAGGGCGGCCTGGCGATCGCGGCCACAGGCGGCCGCGGCGGGGCGGGAGACACCGTGTTCGTGGTCGGGGCGTGGGAGCGCGCGGCGTCGGGGGCGGAGGAGGGCGTGTACGCCGAGGCGGTGGCCCGGCTCGCCGCGGCGCTGGCTGCCTACGGGTACTGATGATGACGTCATGGTGACACAGCTACAGGCGCAGCGCGGCTGCCACGCCATGGCGCACAACTGCTGTACAATCATCCTGCACACGATTTTGTCTGCGACGTGCGGCCACCCACAAACCCAACCTTGTGTCACTTGCGCAGTTGCCGTTGGCTGCACCCTTGGTGAATGATCTAGCGCTGCAGCCATTACAGTACCAGTGCCGACCTAGCTACAACAGCAACAGTCGCCCAGAGCTTGTCTGCAGTCCTCGCACCGCGAGCTGCGGCCCGTGCTGCGGCGACCGCGGTTGGCTGACAGCCACCGCGGCGACCGCCAACAACGGGCGGCGCTGCGGGCTGACAAAACGGATTTGATGCATGCTGCTGAGTGAAAAAGGAAGGGGTTTGGGCGCCATCGCCAGCCAAAGGGTCAAGGGAAGTTTTTCGATGCACATCACACCCTGTGCCCATGTAACCCTATCAATGTGAGCAGGTCAAAATCCAAACGCTGCGCGAGCAGCGCTGGAGGGGCGATGGCCCTCTAGTGTGTCTCACGCCGTCGCCAAAATGTGAGAGCAGCCAGCGGGCCCCCGGGGCCTGGCGCGGCAGGGCGGCTGCGCCTGGGGCCGCCAGGCGGCAGGGGGCGGCAGCTCTGCCTGTCCAGCAACGCCGCGCCTCAGCTGACCAGCGGCGCCGCCGGATGCGCTCGCTTCAACCGCATCGCCCTCGCACGGCCGCAGATCGGCAGCGCAGGGATGGCCCCGGTTTTGCAGGCAGCAGGGCCAGGTGCCCCCTCCAATGAATAGGCGCCGCCGCAACCCCCGCCGAGTCCAGTGCCAACGAATGCGCTCCAAGGGGCTGGGCTCCGGATATGCCCCTGATGCCGGGCACTTACGAGGCGGGGGGGGGTGGGGGTGTCTGGGGGCGAGCTGTGCGGGCTTGCTTTGAACAGGGGAAGGGGCCGCATAAGAGCACAGGGGTGGTGGTGCCCTGAGAGACGGGCCCCCAGCACGCTGGTGGCGGGGGATAAGGTCACGGGGCTGGCGGCAGGGTCGGCCGGTGCGCGAGGGGATCAATCGCCTGCATTGCAGGCTGGAGGGCGGGAACAAGCGCAGAGGCGCGCGCGCACAAGGGCGCGGGCAAGAAGGCCAGGTGGAACCAAATGGTCGGGGGCGCAGGGCCGCTGACAAGAACAGGAAACAAAGCACGAGTGGGCGCTGCCGCGCCGCATTGACAACGCCTGCTCATCAGGCCGCAATGCAGGTAGCAACAGTGCACCACCGCTCCAGGCGCATGTCCTGTCCCGTGAGAGTGGGCCTGTGGGGACGTGCTGGCGCCATGAGGCTTCGATCAAAGACAGAAGAGGCCGGCCAGAGGCAGCCCAGAACGGCAGCCCCCCTGACAGCCACGCGCCGTCGGCACCCCTCCCGCGCATCGCGAGCGCCCCTTAGGCGCGCTGCGGC